TTCCTCTCTCTGAAATCAATAAAGATATATTTAAAAAAAAAAAAAAAGTGCATTTCCCCTGCATAAGCCTGCCTCCAGTGAGCTGTTAGCCATTGTAGTCTTTGGCAGAGGCAATACAGAGGGGGAGGAGGGTGGGCAGCAGCTCTGAATCGTGGCCTGCCTCTGCGAGTGTGGAGCCCTTGCCCCAGAAGCCGGAGCAAGGGCGGTCAGGGTCCCAGTATTCTCAGTGGTTCTGCACGGAAATAATGTAAAGCCCCCGTCCCATGAGGGAGCCTGGGCAGAAGGCGAGGGCTCCGTCTTCGGCTGGAACTTAAGTGCAGGTGGCTGAGGGCAGGGTAAGGAATGCCGTTGTCCTGCCTCTCCTGGGCACGCAGCTCTTCAGTGGGGAACTAGGGAGAGATGGAGCCCTGTGCTATTGGCTGCCCTAGCCTGGAGTAGAATTTCCATCTCACTGAGCTCTGAGAGTGGAGACAATACTGACATGGGCTCTCGCTGAAAGCAGAACTCTCAGGTGGATTGTTTTTAGAGTTATGTGTGGTAGCAGAATGATAGTTAAGGAAGGAATTTTAGTTTGTACACATATGACTGCTTATGACTCATGGGATTTGTTTGCAGACACCTAGATATTGTCTGCATACCCACTGCATACTTTTTACAATATAGTACAAGGTTGGAAATTCTGATGAATTTGGAGCCTGGAAAGCTTGAATATCTTACCCATGATTGCACATCATAAGCTGTGGACCCAGAATCTAGTTTTATTTGACTCCAAAATTTTATGTTGTTACCATTAATTCTACTTTCTCCGTCTTTTTTCTCCCTCTGTTAACTTTGTTTTGTTTGTTTGTTTATTATTGAGGTATAATTGACATGTGATATATTAATTTTAGGTGTACAATGTAATGACTTTATCTTTTTATATATTGCAAAATGATTACCACAATAAGTCTAGTTTACAACCATCACCACAGTTAGTTTTTTGTGTGTAATGAGAACTTTTAAGATATACTCTTAGCAGTTTTCAGATATGAAACGCAGTATTAATTATAGTCACCATGCTGTACATTACCTCTCCAGGGCTTACTTTATAACCGGAAGTTTATACCTCTTACCCATTGAACCACCCTACCCCCTGCCTTGGCAACCATAAAGCTGTTTTCTATTACCAATGATACTAAATGTTTCTCACTTAGTGTAATGCCCTCAAGTTCTACCCATGTTGTTGCAAATAGTGAGATTTCCCTTTTTATGGCTGAGAAATGTTCCATTGTATGTATACCACATTTTCTTCATTCATCCATCAGTGGACACTTAGGTTGCTTCCAGGTCTTGGCTATTAGAAACACTGCTGCAGCGAACATGAGGTACATATACCGTTTGGGCATTGTGGCAAGTTTTCTTTGGTATGTAACTGAAAATCCGGCTTATAAGCTGAAATGACCCACCCATGTACTCCTAAAATATCCTGTATGCTGCTTTGGCATACTCAAGGTTTTCTCACAACAGTATTGTGTCTGGATAATTTGTGATTTTATAATGGGGTGGAGAGATTAGTCCGTGAAAGCCCCTGATAGGCCTTTGCCCTGAATTCAGCATCATGTTCACTTGGGATACTAGACACTGAGAAGGGTAGTTAGCTGTGTTTCAAAGGATAGAAAGCAGGAGTGGTCTTATGATCTTACCATCTCGTATCTTATTAATCATAAGAAAGTTGTAAAAAAAAAAAGGTATAGATTTGCTAATATACTCCCAATATGTAAACAAAATTCAATTAATAAAATAACTATAATATGGCATTAAACAGCAACTTTAGTTTTAACATATTTTATCCATATTAAAAACTTTCTAGGAAAAGATGGTATTTATTTTCTTATTGTAGTCATCTGCTCTAGAGGTAATATGGGTTGATTGCAACGTGAACGCTTCACCTTCCAAGGGGCTGGGAAGGATGATAGATGGAAAGCATTCAGAGTCAGTGCTCTTTGTTACCTACTGGGTTGCATTTTGCTTTCAGTTTTAACGTGCTTTACTTTACACTTCTCTTTTTTCTAGTCTATGCAAGTAAAACTTTCTGAAGAAAAACTGACCACTCAGAAGATGATGGAAGAGCTGGAAAAGAAAGAAAGAAACCTACAGAGATTAACAAAAACATTGCTTGATGTGAGTAGAAGAAATTCAAGTGACTTTCAAAGGATGATTCAGCACCTATTTAAGTTAAAGCAAATGCTTATCTTGTACATATTCTAAAAACATTTTTAAATTGAAGACTTGATTTTGATATGCCAGTTAATTAAATCTATTAGGTTTTTAGTAAAATTATAATAAAAAGACAGACTTATGTATGTCTTAGAATACAATTTCACAGACATTTTCAAAGTCAAATGTTAGATAGAGATTAGCTGCAGTGCCACTGAATAAGGCATAAATGGAAGGTACCCTTGAAATTCCTTAAGGAAAATGCAGTGTTGACACTGCCATTGGAACAAATTACACTTTCTTCATTTAATTATGAGATGAGACACTTGGCTTGTATTTAAGGGCATGTTATCAAAACAATACTTATTTTAGTTTTATAACTGTCATCGTGACATTTGCCACTTAGATACTTCAGAATGCATCTCCAAAAATTAAGGACATTTTCTTATGTAGCCGTATCATCAGTCACATCCGATAAGAGTAACGTGTCTTGATATTCAGTAATACCCAGTCTATAGTAAACATTTTCCACTTCTTCGCAAATGTTTTTTATAATGACTTGAAACCAGCATTCAGTAAAACCCATGAGTTGCATTTCATTTTGTCTTAGAAACTTAAGGTCCCCTTCTCTCATGTTAGTGACTTGTTGACAAAACTGGGCCTGTTTTCTTGTAAGTTAGAAGTTAGAGCTAAAGATAGCATTAGATTCAGATCAAACAATGTTTGACCTGAACACTTTGTAGGTGTTGTTCACATCATCAAATTATATATGTTTGGTATTCCACTATAAGGGAAACCAGTACTCATTTCATTGGGTCAGTGTGGTGGCCAGCTGATTTTTTCCATTGTAATGTTAGAGCCTCTGCCGATAGCAGGTAATCTCTGGGATGATACTTAGGCGACTGTGTGAATGTGTAGTTTGCCAGCACTCTTTCCCTTGTTGGTTTTAGTACCCACTAATGATCATTGCCTGAATCATTAGATGATTAAAGAATGGTATTTTTTCTAATTACATCATTTCACGTTTACTAGCTGGCACTCATCTATTTTAAAAAAATCTTTTCCTTATCACCACAGGCTATTTGGTTATTCCAAAATACAATCCCTGTTGGAAAGCTAATTAAACTTACCTTCCCTGAGCCCTTTTCAGAATGAAGAGTAGATGAGGGCAATTCGAGGGTAACTTTCTCGGAGTGTAGTAAATCATGAGTTCATATTGATACTTCCAATTCAAATTTAACAATTTACAATTGTTTGGGGTATTTTCCCTTCTTTGATTTTTGTTGTATTTTTCTCTTACACTGAAAATTTTGGTTCCTATTAATATAATAACATATATACTTTTTTCTCAATATACAAAAAATGGTTTCAAAGTAATGATATCCTGTTGCTACTAATATAAAACTACAGGATGAGGTGTAAAGTTTCTTTGTAGTTCTTTTTGTTTTTAGGATAAATCTTGTTATAGAAAAATACATATACAACCAAGAAGCTCATTATGTGAGAGCATGAGAGAGTCCTAGAAACTAAGACTGGATTTGTTTCCTCCAGAGGGCATCAATCAGATTGCACAGAGGAACCATTCCACAATTTAAATTATTTTCCTTTTTTTCCCCACTACTCTGTATGTAGTTAAATTTGGTTAATGTGTATATAATATTCCACTATTTGTTTATAGACTTGGGGGGAAATGTTAACCTGTTTGGCTTCTGAGTACCTTTCCCCTGTCCTAACCCAGATTTTCATTTTCTTTACCCATTGCAGAACCAAAGACAGACAGAAGACACATGCTGTGTGTTGGATCAGGGCCAGGAAGCAGACCAGCCCAGGCAGCAGACGGTTCTTCCCAAACGACCACTATTTGATCTGAGTGTGATTGACCAGCTGTTCAAGGAAATGTCCTATTGTTTGTTTGACTTGAAGGCACTGTGCAGTATTCTTAATCAGCGTGCTCAGGGCAAGGAGCCTAATCTTTCCTTATTACTGGGAATCAGATGTAAGTGGCGGATGACTTGTCCTTCCAGCATTGCTGAACAGTTAGAAACCTGTCTTTATGAATTAGGAACTTCTGACTGTGTTTTCCCTATTTGTTTTGAATCTCTTTTCCTACATAGATTTAGAAATCTCTGCAGTCAGTCAGTGGGTCGTGAATACTTGTTACTTCATTGCTAGAACTCACTTCATTACCTTGCAGCAGTGTGCATGGTCGTAGTTTGTAGGGAGTCGCACCCGCCTGTGTGGATGAGCTGTGCGGAACCTGTTACTGTGATGGCGTGACAAGTGTGAGTTCCTGGTTACTCTCCTAAAAATAATACTATTTGCTTTCATGTGCTAATCATTCAAGTAGTGACCCAGCCATCTGTCCACTGGCCAAATATTGGAGAAAAAATACTCACTTTCCTGTGTAGTGTACGTTCTCTGGTGGTTTTCAGGGCCTACAGATCTGTCGCTTTTGTCATGCATGCCTGCTGGCTTTGTCCCTTTCAGTGTAACACTCACCCGTTTTCCCTCAGCTCTGCCTTCCTCCACATGTGGTTGTGAGAGCTGCCACGGGAACGTCCCACTGTCTTCCCTTCTGTGCTGCTGCTGCAGGAACACTCATCTCTGCTGGGGGTTCTCAGCTATAATATGACATGTTGGCCTCTTTTCAGTGCAGAAGAAATGGGCTTCGGTTAGGAGAGGGAATGAGTAAGAGCATAAGATGTGTGCACCAACATGCTGTACCGAGTGACTGCCTAAGAATGTAGTAAATACAGACCTAGAGAGGGGACTAGTCCCCCCCCCCAGTTTTATCAAAATGATTCCACCATCTTGTGTCATAATAGTTATTCTGTCAAACCAAATACGTAATACTCTTGATCAAAGTGTGTCACTTGTTAAATGAAACATGTAACTGTGCTTAGAGATGTCAGCAGAACTTTCCCCTTCACTTCATAGATGTGTGTTCACATACATGAAAAAAAACTTTAGAGTTTAAATATATTCACTCAGTACATATTCATTAAATGCCTTCTATAGTCCAGGCATTATCTATAATGCAGATAATTTGAACACAGCTCTTGCTCCCCCATTAACCACATTCTTAGGGCATTGTGATAAGTAGAATTCAGATGTGAACAGGGGACAGTGAGAGCTCAAGGGAAAGCATCTAAATCTACCTGGTAAGGGCTGCAAAGGCTCCATGGAGTACCTGGTGGTGGCTTGAATCTTAGAGGAGGAGTTTGCCAGGTGACTATGGAGTGGTTTAGTTAGCAATGATCTCTTGGAAAAAGAAGCAAAAGTTCACTCTCAAAAGATTCATTTCTTCACCTTTTCAGAGATGGTCACTCTTTCAGTTACTCTGTACCCCACGTTTGCACACTCCTACGTAGCATTTATTAGCTTTTTCAGTATTAGGATGAGAGAGCTGTCTTAATATGAATAAAATCGAGATTTAAGAACCTTGCCACATTCACCTCCCAATGACTACTCCTTCCAGTCTTTAAAATTTAACCCCAGGATTCTTACCTTACAGTTCAGCATTGTGAAAATTCAGCCGGCCAGCTAACTTGTCAAAAACCAGTGGATTCTTTTGAACCCTCATCTCATCACTCCATGGACTATTTGTTGACACTGTTCACCCATCCTCCTTAGGCTCTCTGCCACCATGGTTTTCATGACCTCACTCTCTAGGTTCTGCTGCTCCCTTTGTGACTGCGCCGTGCCAGTCTTCTATGGGATTCTCTGCCACTTAAATACCAGTGTACCCCAGCAGCTCTGTGTTGTTGGTTTTTTGCTTCTCTGTTTCCTCTGAGCAGTTGTACTGTGTCCCGTTGTGTTCTGTTACCGCTGTGCCTTTGGTCCACACAGACTTCGATCGCTTACTCTGCCAAGGGGGTGCCTGCTGCGCCCGATTATGCCGGCCTCTGAGAACCAGCTGTTCCGTAGCAGCCCAGAGCAGGGCCTGCTCCCCTGTCCCCCGCAACCCTGCTCTTCCTCTGGGCGGGCGCCGCCCCGGTTTGGCCGCGCATCCTGTCCCAGCCCCCAGCCCCATCATTCCTGTCGGTGCCCTCCTGCTTGAACATTTGTTCCTACCACAGCATCTTCACTGCACTGTCGCCTTGAGGCCGCTGTCCCCCGACTGGCCTGTCAGCCGCACTGCCTCCCCCAGCCCGTGTCGCCTTGCTGCCCGAGCGCTCCGTTGGCGCCCTGTGCACACTGTGGCTCTGATTTCCTCGCGCTTGCACTGCCCTGGAGGACACGGGCAGCTCACGCCCGGCTCTCCAGCCTTGTTTCTTCGCACTCTCCTCATAATTTGTGTCTGCCATTTTAGAGCTGGTTACTGATTTTCTTGAAGTTTTTCAGATTCTATCAGACTGTTTAGTTTTCTGCGTCTGTACTGTTGCTTCGTCTGCTTCCCCTCCAGTTTGGCCTGGTGGTTCTGGTCCTTACGCCTCTGTGGCCTGTGTGTAGCAGTAGGTCATCAACAATACCTGACTGGGCTTACTCATGAAAGTGTATGTAAATTATTAAGAAAAAGCCACTAGCTCTGGCCGCATGGCTCGGCTGGTTGGAGCATCAACCCATACGCCTAAAGGCTGCAGGTTTGATTCCCAGTCAGGGCACAAAACTAGGTTGAGGGTTCTGTCCCTAATCGGGGTGCATACGGGAGGCAACTGATCAGTGTTTCTCTCTCTCACATCCATGTTTCTTTTCTCTCTCTCTCTCTCTCCCCCCCTCTCCCTTCCTCCCGCCCCTTCCCTTTC